ATCACTTCCTGATGGTCTTGTATTATATTGTTTGGGGGGATTTAAGAGTCACAGGGTGATGCAGGCTAGGATTGGGTTTCATTAGCAGTAACTTTCCCTCAAAATCTCAATAGACTTTCAAACTATTTGCTATTGTTTAATTACATTACCAAGGATCTTGTCTCAATATTTTTAAGCCTGATGATTCCTTTTGCTTACTGGCCCCTTTGCTCTTTCATTTTTCTAGCCCTTAAATCTTCCCAGGCAATACCATACATCCCTAGTCCATTAAATATCCCATTCAATTTAATGACTACTTCATGTCTTCTCTCTTAAACCCAAAACTTTCTACTTCATATCGTCTCTGTTAAACCCCAAACCTTGGTCACTTCATAAATGATCAGAACACATCTCAAAACTTCTCCCACCTCATCTATTCACTTCCCAGTATCTGCACCTCATACTCTGCTTTCATATTATCAGGAACAGCCATTCCATAATATCTAAAGCTAATGCCTCTATTCACTAAATCCTACACCCTGTCACCTATGTAAGGTCATTGCTCCAGCAATTCTCCCTCTTATAATTTTTTCCTCTCTTCTTGATCATTCCAATCAACATACATAATTCTATTATTTCTCCTATTGCTATTCCACTAATTCCTGCCTCATGATTTTAAATAAATACAGGTTATAACTACCAAATTTATATACTCTCCACGCCATTATAGCTAGTTTATCAAACTATGAACTCAATATTGCTACTTGGAGGTCTAAAAGATCTCAAAATCACTGTCCAAAACTGAAGTCCCAATCTTCACCAGGAGCCTGCTGGAAGAGCAACTTCCTCATCTCAGTTGATGGGAACACCATCTTTCCATTTGCTCAAGACAAAAACCTGAGTCAGTTTCACTCTGGGCTCTTCTCTTACATCTGACATCTAACTCATAAGCAAATCTTGCTTGCTCCATAATATTTAACATAAATCTAGAATCTGGGCACTTCTCACCATACCCATTGCTACCATCCTGGTCTCAGCCACCATCATCTTTCATGAATTACTGCTATAGCCTCCTATTTTTTAATTTATTGTACTTTAGATAAAGGTTTACAGAATAGTTTCTCATTAAACAGTACACATATTGTTTTATGACATTGGTTAACAGCCCCATGACATGTCAACACTCTCCTTTCAAGACCTTGGGTTCCTTATTACCAGCTTTCCTGTCCCCTCCTGCCTTCTAGTCCTTGTTGTGCCCCATTAGTCTTGTTTTGTTTTATGGGCCTGTCTAATCTTTGGCTGAAGGGTGAACCTCGGGAGTGACTTCATTACTGAGCTAAAAGGGTGTCCAGGAGCCATACTCTCCGGTTTTCTCCATCTCTGTCAGGCCAGTAAGTCTGGTCTTTTTTTGTGTGTTAGAATTTTGTTCTACATTTTTCTCCAGCTCTGTCATGGACCCTCTGTTGTGATCCCTGTCAGAGCATTCAGTGTTGGTAGCCAGACACCATCTAGTTGTACTGAATTCAGTCTGGTGGATATAGCCTTCTACGGTTACCACTTACGGTTTTCTTTTTTTTTACAACATAAAAACCACAAAACATAAGTCAGATCAAGTTCTCTGCCCAGAACTCTCCAATGGCTATCTATTCCCATCACAATAAAATCTAAACTGCTTGCAATGGTCTACAATGGCTTGCAAGATCTGGCCCTCTGTTCTCTCTCTCACCTCCTCTCCTGTCACTGCCTTGCAGAGTTCCAATCACAAGAGTAAGTCAAAAATATTGTTACAAAATCATAGAAACATTAAACAAAAATATAAAAATGTGAAGCTATTGTTTCTTGACATATCCTTCATTTAGGTCTATGCACTTCTGAAAGCTGTGTCTCCATCTAACCCTTCCCCAAAGAATTCTGCACTCCTCGATTTACACCATGTCAAACGGCAGTTTCGGCATCCTCGAGGGACTAAAATAGTGTTCCTTTTAAATGTTGAGTTTTGGGAACAAAAAAGTCTGAAGGGCAAGATCAGGGCCGTAGGTTGGATGGGGTAAGGATTCCCAACAAAATTCTCATAGCCCTTGCTACCCTTGAAGAATGAGCAGATGCATTGTCGTGATGGAGAAAAATTCCTCGGCACTGCTTTCCTGGCCTTTTTCTCACCAATGCAGTTTTCAATTTTCTTAAAACTTCTTCATAATAAGCCTCCATGATCATCCTGTATCCTTGTCCCTATCAAGATTACCCTTTTGGAATCCCAAAACAGTCACCTTAACCTTTCGAGCAGTCTTCCCTCTACTGGCTCATCTTTGAGGTCCTCCCAACCTTCCTTAAAATGCTTGATCCATCTACAAACTGTTGTTTTATGTGGGGCAGCATTCCCATAAACGTGTTGTAAAGCTTCAATGATTTGGAAAGATGTCTACTTGAGTTTGTTAAAAACTTGATACTAGTCTTGACCTCAAAATTTTTTTTTCCATGTCACAAAAAGTATCGGCACTCTGAGACTAAGACAAGTTTATGACTGAGAGACCTTGTGTGCAGCCATCCACTGACTGCAGACATGTTTAAACATGTTTTGTTTGGAATAAACCTGTGCATGTATGAACTGGAACCCTAGTAGCAATACTTTTTCACTTACACTCATAGCTTCCCTAATGTTCCTCAAATATACCAGGGTATTCCCATCATAAAGCCTTTGATTTTCTTCCTGACTGGAATGTTCCTTTAGATAACCACTAAGTCACTCCTTCAAATCTATGCTCAAATTTTTTCTTCTCAATGATGTGTACCCTGACCATTCTATTAGCAAGATAAACTGTCATGTCCCTCCCAATTCCTCTTGAATGACTTTTTTTTGCTAATACTATCATGTTCTAACATACTCTACAATTTACTTACTATTATTCTATCTCCTCCTGCTAGAATCGCTCATGGACATATTCCAAACACCTAGGATAGTGCCTGGAATACAGCAAGCATTCAATAAATATGGCTAATTTGGGAACAGACTTGAATGGGGAAAGTATATTTAATAATCTTTGCTAGCAGACTCACTGCCTTTGTGCAGATGGGCAGTGGTCTCATTTCTTATTCAGGCTGCCACTTTAAATCACTATAAATAGCTTCAGTTAACGGGAAGAGAATTAGTTTGGCCTTTTGAACCCTACAAGGTTCAAAATTATTAAATTTACAGTCAACCTGGATTGCACATGTGGTGGCAGAGATAGCATCTGTTAACCAAGTGATAGCTTTCAATCTCAGCTAGTCACCTAGCTAGCTCTACATTTATCTATTTCATACGACATTTCTGAAAGCAGCAAGACACACCCAACACACATCAACATTCTGAACCACCCGTCATTTCCCCTATTACACCCTCAGCTTGACACAAGGTCTGACTTGTAAGACAGAACGGGAGGCAGCCTGACCAACTGTCCTGCCTCTAAAAACAAGTATCTTTAGTTTTCTAGCCTTATTCCCCATGGCCCTAAGCCAATGCCTCATTTGAAATTTCTTTCACCCACAGCACCCCACTTCCAGCTACAAAAACTTTTTAACCAGCTACAAAATTTTACATCCTTAAGAATTTCATTTTAATGTCAATAAGTGAGAACTATGACAACATCAACAAATAAGAAGTTTATTTTAATTTTATATAAAGACACAAAAGATAGGCAGATCAGAGTTGGAATGTCTGTTCCACAAAATCAGCAGGGTTGCTGACTCTGTATTTCTGCTCCACCATCCTTAACAACCAACATACATTCTTGAAGCCCTCATAAGACTGCTGGATCTCTAGCTTAGATGTCCACTTTGCAGACGGGGGGAAGAAACAGAAGGGCAGAGAGGAAAAGAGATTTCTTAAATATGCTACTGATACAAATACCACTTCTACCTTGTTGACCTGCCAGGGAGGCTGAGACAAATTTCTCAGCTAAGAATTGTTACTAAAGAAGAAAAAATAGATATTAGGTAGGGAAATGGTGGTCTCTAAAACAGGCTTTCATTATTTTTCATTTTGAAATCGTTTGCAATTTCAGTTTTATTTTCAGATTAATTCAAAAGCTATACATTCAAGTTTTTAAAATTTCCTAGTGGAAAGGTTTATTTTGGCTTTCAGGTTTTTTTTTTTTCCATTTCTAAATACTATTCTTGAACTGTGGCTAGAGATGATGGAAAATATTATTTTGACTTTGTTATAAATCACTTCACACCTCTCCCAAATTCTCTAAGAGCTGTGGTAACAATCCACTGACTAAATCCACAGGGTTTCTTTGCAGTATGGTTTTCCGCTTATAATATATTGGATGCGATGTGAATAAAAGCTTTCTCACATTCATTACAGCATACAGTTCCTTCCCCTCCACAATCTGGTATAAGTGTTAATGAAAGATTTCTTAATATTCATTACACTCATAGTGTCCCCGTCTCATGAAAATTCTCTAAAATAACACTAATGATACCTAACATTTGTGGTATACTACGTTTAAGGCACTGTTCTAAGAGCTTTGCGTGTAATAACTCATTTAATCTAATAAACGTAAGAGAGGTATTAGTCTTAGGACTATCTTACAAATGATTAAACCAAAGCAGAGGTTAATTATTCATGATGTCGCAGAGGAAATCAACTAGTAGAACCAGGATGATGTTGAAAAAGACGTATAGTATAGCTAAAGGCTTTCCTACATTTACTACATTACCAGAATCATTATTATAATTTTCTAAAGTTTAATAGATTTTCTGTAATGATAGGTTTTTCTACATGAATTACATTAACATTATCCTTCCTCCATATAAAATCTCTGATGCTGAGCTATATGAAGCAAATGTACTCTCATATTCACATTTGTAAGAATTATTTAATAATAATGGGTGAGTGACCAGAGGAGGTTCTCTACATTAACCACAAACAATTTATATATAAACTTGTGAGCCGTGATTAAAGTTCATCTCATATTCCTTATATTCATAAGATTTGTCACTAATATGAATTCTCTGATGTTGGGTTAGTTGTGAGCCACGAGTAAAAGCTTTCCCACATTCTTTGCATTGATATAGTTTCTCACCAGTATGAATTCTCTGATGACGAGAAAGATGTGAGCTCTGAGTAAAGGCCTTTCTACATTCTTTGCATTCATAGGGCTTCTCACCAGTATGAATTCTCTGATGTAGAGTAAGTTGAGAGCCATGAGTAAAGGCCTTCCCACACTCTTTGCATTCATAGGGTTTTTCTCCAGTGTGAATGCGCTGATGTTGAGTAAGTTGTGAGCTACGAATAAAGGCCTTCCCACATTCCTTACACTGATATGGTTTCTCACCAGTATGGATTCTCTGATGTTGTATAAGCAGTAAGCCACGAGCAAAGGCCTTCCCACATTCATTACATACATAAGGTTTCTCACCCGTATGAAGTCTCTGATGTTGAGAAAGATGTGAACTCTGAGTAAAGGCCATTCTACATTCTTTACATTCATAGGGCTTCTCACCAGTATGAATTCTCTGATGTTGAGTAAGCTGTGAGCCACGAATAAAAGACTTCCCACATTCCTTACATTCATACGGTTTCTCACCAGTATGGATTCTCTCATGTTGAGTAAGTTCTGAACCACGACTAAAGGTCTTTCCACATTCTTTACATTCATAGGGTTTCTCACCAGTATGAATCCTCTGATGTCGAGTAAGAAGTGAACCACGATTAAAGGCCTTTCCACATTCCTTACATTGATAAGGTTTCTCACCTGTATGAATTCTCTGATGTTGAGTAAGTTGTGAGCCATGACTAAAGGTTTTTCCACATTCCTTACATTCATAGGGCTTCTCATTGGTATGAATTCTCAGGTGTTGAGTAAGTTGTGAACCACGGATAAAGGCCTTCCCACATTCTTCACATTTATAGGGCTTTTCACCAGTATGAATCCTCTGATGTTGCATAAGTAATGAACCTCGAATAAAGGCCTTTCCACACTCATTACATTCATATGGTTTTTCCCCATTATGAATTTTCTGATGTTGAGAAAGCTGTGAGCCACAAATAAAAGCTTTCCCACATTCCTTGCATTCATAGGGTTTCTCACCAGTATGAATTCTCTTATGTAGAATAAGTTGTGAGAGCTGAGTAAAGACCTTTCTACATTCTTTACATTCATAGAGTTTTTCACCAGTATGAAGTCTCTGGTGCAGAGTAAGTTGTGAGTTCTGAGTAAAGGCCTTCCCACATTCTTTACATTCATAAGGTTTCTCACCAGTATGGACTTTTTGATGTCTGGTGAGTTGTGAGCTACGAATAAAGGCTTTCCCACATTCTTCACATTTATATGGTTTTTCACCAGTATGAATTCTATGATGTAAAATAAGTTGTGAGCTCTGAGTAAAGGCCTTCCCACATTCCTTGCATGCATAGGGTTTCTCACCAGTATGAAGTCTCTGATGAAGACTGAGCTGTGAATCACGACTAAAGGCCTTCCCACATTGCTTACATTCATAGGGTTTTTCACCAGTATGAATACTCTGATGTTGAGTAAGATGTGAAGCTCGTCTAAAGGCCTTCCCACATTCCTTACATTTATAGGGTTTCTCAGTAGAATGACATCTTGGATGTTGAGATAAGTAAGTATGTTGGTTGAAAATGGACATTTTTTCGTACGTGATCATGCCTTCCTTGAAATATTCCTCTTGGTTTTCTTGTTGCCTCTCCAATGTGCTTTTAACTTCCAAATAATCTCTGGAACTGGACTCCTCAAGATCACAGCTTTCAAGCCTGTCAGTCATTTCCCATTGGGATAATTCTGTTTCACAAATGTCCTTTTTTGGAGGTAAGTCCTTACTTGCAGACCTTGATGAGAAGTCTGAAAGATAAGAGAAAATCAAACTTTCGTCATTTCAGTTGAAACAGAACTTGTAGAGTAGAAAATAGAGATAACAGGAAAATAATACCCATAATATATAAATGATTTACATCAGTGTTTTTCAAATATTGTTTAATATGTCCCATATTACTAACTTTTCACATTACAACCCACAGCACAGATATAGTTTCATAAAATACCAACCCTGTTTTCAATTCTATACTTATTCTAGTCTATTTTTCTCTCTTTTACATACAAAGACAGTCAAACCTAGTCAATTGATTTCATGGTCTAGTAGTGTGTTGCTACCTAGAGTTTGAAAAACATAATGATCTCATATATTAACATGTAAAAAGGGCACACGAGAGATCAGAGAATCGTGAAAGTTCATCTGAGAAGTTAAGGGAAGAGATCAAGAAAACTTAAAAGTCAGTGGTTCTCACATTTTGGTGGGGATTAAAATCACCTGGGGAGCTTGTTAAAATTAAAGATTCCCAGATACCACCCCAGACTAACAGTATGTTAATCTAGTGATGATTCAGGAAAAGATCATGGATATCTCTAGTCTTAATACATTCTACCAACCAATTCTGATTCAGCTATAGAGCAAGATTTGCTATCTCTACTTAAAACTTCTAGTTTCCAGATTACACTTAGAATAAAATCCAAATTATTTTCCATGACTTTGACAAAGTGCTCCATCATCTATCTGGTCCCTGCTTATGTATAATTTCCCCCATGGGCCATTTCTTGGCTTTGTTCACTATTTGCAAAACACACTAGCTTCCTTTCAGCTCTGAAAAAGTCACAATGACTTTTCCAACTTAAGGCCAGCCAGAGGCTGTTTCGTATCTTTGGACTGCACTGTATGAGACTCTATGCAAACTGGCTATTTCTCATCCTTCAGGTAATTTAAAAGTCAGTTCCTGGAATATGAAACATCCACTTCTGAAAACAAAAGACTATACAATTTATACCAACTTCCCTGATAAGAACAATTGCAAATGATGGATGAAATAAAAAAAGCACTTGACTGAGGGCACTGGAAAGTTAATATTGCAAAAAAGAGTGGGTGGGTACAAAAGTTGAAAAATATAAAAACTCAGGGAGATGAGCCCAGCATTTAGGGCCATGTTTAACTTTAGGGAAGTCTTTCAATTCTACAAAAAGCAATCGAGAGGTGAAGGAACTAAGCAGCATTTTGGACTGTTTCATAGGGCTGAGTAACAATAAATGGAGAACAAGTCCCAACATAAAGTCTCCATACTTTGAGTTGTGAACACTAAGTGCTACAGTGAGAAGTAAGGGAGAAACAGTAGACCAGCCTGGGCAAGGTCTAAAGCTCATATTTGAACCATCTCAAACCCATAAATTTCTATTAAGGCTATTCCAGACTGCTTGCCATAGCAAACTTACATCTTCATTAGAGATGTGTAACATCATCCAAGCCCTGAAATTATTTTTGTAATTTTTCTTTACGGTGTCTAGCATTCAATAAAAACCAGGTAAATGAAGGTACAAGACAACTTAAGTGAAAAAAAAGAAAAAGACTTATAAGGGCTCAAGCCATGTATCCACCACCACAGGAATGATACAGAACAGTTTTATAACTCCTAAAATACTCTGGTACTACTGTTTGTATTCAATCCCTCCTTCCACACTAGGGTAGACCCTTGGAATCTGTAGTTTCTTTATCATTTCCTTACAGATGGAAACAAAAGAACATCCACACTAAATCTAAGATAAAAATAGAAAAAGTGATCATATATACCTCTTGTTATAGATTGAATTGCACCTCCTCTCCCCAAAAAAGATACACTGAAGTCTTAACTCCTGTACCTATAAATATGACCGTTTTTGAAATAGGGTATTTAAAGATATGATCAGTTAGGTTAAATGAGGCCATAGTAGAGTAGGGTGGGTCCTAATCTATACGACTGCTGTCCTTATAGAAGAAGAGAAGATACACAGAGACAGGGAAACAGAGGAAAGATGCCACATGATGCTGCAGCTGCCAGAGAGGGACTGTTGGAAGTCACCAGAAGCTAGGAGTGACATGGAACAGTTTCTCTCTCAGAGCTCTCAGAAGGAATCAGCACAGCCAATACTCTGATTTGGATTTCTGTCCTCCAGAACTGTGAGACAATAAAGCCACCTACTTTGTGGTATTTTGTTATGGCAGCCCTATGAAACTAATACAACTCTCCAATTGCCTTGCCTCTTGCAAAATGCTTCGTAGGTACTAGCCATGGTTATCTTCTTTAGCTCTTCCTACCCATTTAACCAAGATATTATGTTGTTTTTGTTTACTTATCCTTATTTCATTGTTTTGTTCCTTCACGTTCTGCCTCACATCCCTTCTTTGCCCTTCTATCCAGGGTCAACTCTATTTGTTCATTCCAGAAGGATATCTTTATCATTTCCCAGGCACTGCAACAGGTATAAAACATAATGAAACATTTCTGTAATCCTACAGAATGCTGGAGACGTTGGAGAAAAAAGGCAATTATCTAATATAAGGGAAGGAGTCTGGAGTGACAAAGTGCCACGAATTCTAAAAAAAAAAAAAAAAGGTGCTAACATACCTCTAATGGTCCCATCACATTCAGAGCAAAGGAGAAGAAAACCAAAGACACAAGGAATATATAAGTCCAAAGGACTAATGGACCACATGAACCACAGCCTCCACCAGCCTTAGCCCAGAAGAACTATATAGTGCCTGGCTACCACCACTGACTACTCCGAAAGGGATCACAATAGGGGGTCCTGGAAAGAGCAGGAGAAAAATGTAGAAAATTCAAATTCACAAAAAAAGACCAGACCTACTGGTCTGACAGAGACTGGAGAAACCCCTGAGACTATGACCCCTGGACATCCTGCTAACTCAGAACTGAAGCCACTTCTGAAGTCCACCTTTCAGCCAGAGATTAGACAGGCCTATAAAACAAACAATAACACACATAAGGAACATGCTTGTTAGTTCAGTCAAGTATGAGACCAAATGGGTAACACCTGCCAAAAAGCAAAGATGGGAAGGCAGGAAGGGACAGGGAAACTGGACGAATGGACATGGAGAAGCCAGGGTGCAAAGGGAAAGGGGGAGAGTGCTGACACATTGTGGGGACTGCAACTAATGTCACCAATTTGTGTATAAAATTTTTTAATGAAAAAAACTGTGCACTGTAAATTTTTACCTAAAACACAAAATTTTAAAAAATTAAATAAAAAAATATGCTAGGTATAGCCTTGTTTGATATAAAGAATATAACTGATGGCAATGCAAATCAACAAACGGAACGTGAAAAGTCTCATACACTGCTGCTGGGAATGCAAAGTGACATAACCACTGTGAAAAATAATTTGGTATTTAATTAAAAATACACTTAGCACATGATCCAGCAACCATACTCCTAGGTATTTACACTTATGTTCAGACAAAAATCTGCACAACAAAATTTATAGTAGCTTTATTCATAATTGCCCCAAACTGAAACTGAGATACCCTTCTATGGGTGAATCAATTAACAAAGTTTGGTACATCCATACAATGGATTACTACTCAGCAATAAATGGGAACAGATTATTGATTTCTGCAACAACATGGGTAAATCTTAAATGTATTTTGCTAAATGAAAAAATCCAGATCTGAAAGATTACTTGTCTTGATTCCATTCATATGACATTCTGGAAAAGGCAAAATTATAGGGATGGAAAATAGGTCAGTAGTTTCCATAGATAGAGGATGGGGGTGGGGATGATAAAGTGACAGCATGTGGGAATTTGGAGGGTTAAAGAACTTTGTTAAAGAACTGTGTTGTTTTATAACTTTGGCAATGAATATACTTGTTACGTACAAGGTGCATCAGACTTCCTGAAAAATACCAAGAAAAGCTGGATAATCTATGACAAACATCCTTTTAAAAGTATGGCCAAACTTAAAAGAGAGTAAAGCATACCCATAGGGGCCATGATGAAGTGGGAACCAGAAACTAGACAGGTGAACACTCTCTCAAGTCACAGCTACCATTGGACATTTATTGACTTCAATTGCCTAAATGGTCCAACAAAATTCAGGAGACAAGGCCCTGGGGCCACAAAAGATTAGGGATTGGTAATGAACCTCTTCTCAAAATTGGAACTATCATATGCTTACAGAGAGAGGAAAAAAAATCCATCAAGCCTTAATGGAAAATGACAAGAAATGTCTCGATCTTGGCATTTTAAGAAATTTGACTTACTCTGAGATGGGGAGTCACTGGACAGTTGTAACAAGCAGCATGACAAGATCTGACTTTGTTTTAAAATGAATTATTCTGATTGTTTTGTTAAACAATAGATAGTAGGGAAAGCATCTTAGGGAGGTAATTACAGAAGTTAGGAGGCTATAGCAATAATCCACCTGGTTCAGACTAGATGATTGTGAAGATAGGGGTGGAGGAGGTGAGATGTCATTGATTCTGGATATACTTTGAAGGTATACTGAAGAGGATTTGCTGATAGATTGTACATATAGTATGCGAGAAAGAGGGAAAACAGTATGACTCCACATGTTTTGCCTGAGCACCTGGAAGAAAAGAACTGCCACTTACTGAGAAGAACACTGTGGTAGGAGCAGGTTTGGAAGAAAATAGCAAGAGTTTGGTTTTGAACTTTTGGATGTCCTAGTGAAGACGATGAGAAGGCAGGTATATGTACAAATGTGGGATTCAGGGGAGATATTTGGATTAGAGATATAAATTTGAGAGTCATCACCAAACAGATATTTAAAGCTATAGGATTTAATGAGATCACCCCAGGAATGTCTTGAATAGTGAAAAGGAAAGGGAAAAAGGAAGTTTGAAGATTGAGCCCTGGGGCACTTCAACATTTAGAGGTAGGGTAGATGAGAAGGAACCAGCAAAGGAATCTAAGAAAGAGCAGCCAGTGAGAAAGGAGAAAAATTAGGAAAGCGTCGAGTCCCAGAAGCCAAGTGAAGAAAATATTTTGAGGAATGATCAACT